GGACCATCAGCCATGTAGCCAGTCACTCTTGCCTCATGGTCATCTTTTCCAGAAATAGGATTTTCAGCAAGAAGGATTTGTAAAATGTTATACTGCCTTCTCAAATTTCCTATCGGGAATGAGAGATGGGTATAACTTTCTTTTGAGTTTATCTTTTATTTCTGTGTGAGCACACGGACATATGGGAGTTGCCTAAGGGCAAACTCTTCAAATATTTCCAATGGATAGCATTGTTCTGAATTTACACATTACCTCCATATCCTCACTACAGATAAGTTCCACACAACACAACTTCCACCTAGACTATCAGTGGGCACATAGATACTGCAGGACTAAGAATGACTCTTTAAAAAATTGTAACCCGTCTTAGAGACTATTCCATATCAGTGCACAAAGAACTTGTTTTTCCCAGCATGTAGTATTCCACTGTATAGAGGTAGTCTGTTAGGCAGCTTTATGTTCCTATAAAAATACCCAAGCCAACTAACTTAGGAAGACAAAAGGGTTATTTTGGCTTGCAGTTTGGGAATTTCAGTTCATTTATGTCAGTTGGCTCCATTGCTTTGGGTTTGGGATAAGACAACTCATCATGGCAGCAGTGCATGGGCTGCCCGCTCATCTCATAACTGGATGTGAAAGAGAGATAGAAAATAACTGGATTCCCAATTTTCCCTGCCCCCAGGGACTCAAGTCCTTCTAGGCCCCACCTCCATACCTCCCAATGGACCTGAACTGTGGATTAAATCTTTAATACATGGGCTTTGGGGGCCTGGTCTGACCCAAATTATAGCAAGGAGATGTAGTGATTTATTTAGACAATCCCCTGTGGCTAGCTATTTAATTTTTTTGTATTTCAAAACATGTTTTAAGATACATATGTGTACAGTCATCTTTGCACAGAAGTGCATGCATAAGCATAGAGCTAATCCTTAAAAGTGTAATTGTTGACATCCACGCTTTTCACTCGTAATCTATGCTGATCTGTAAGAGTTGCCTCATCTTCTATGTGCTGTTTACACAGCTCTGGCTCTCACCTGAGTGCTGGAACCTCTATCTACTGTGAACTGTCTAGAAAACCCACAATATTCATTGAACAACTGGTGCTCTGTTCAAACTCAGAGAAAATACCTGAAAATACTGTGGGTGAGTCTAATAAAGAAATTCAAATACAGTTATTTAAACAAGCCTATATCACTGTGTCCTATGTACATGTCAAGTTAATAAAACTTCTGAAACATTGTGATAAGATATTGTGAATGAGTCAGAAGAAATAAAAGATGTGGTCTTTACTCCTCAGGAGCTGGAAATCAACCCTACCCACCAGATGGGACATAGAAGGGCTGAATCCTGTCATTTGGATCTTTCTCACTGATACAGCTCCAGTACCAGAAGAGAAACTCCCTGAGCCCCATGAGAATGTATGTTGGTCAGCTTCTCAGTGCTGTGACGAAATACTTGAGAAAAACAATGTAAAGGAGGAAAAGTTTGTTCTTGGTCACAGCTTCAGAGGTTTAAATCCAAGCTATCTGGTTTTATTGCTTTGGGATTGTGATGAGAACATCATGGCAAAAGAGCTGTGGAAACGGCTGTTTACTCATGGAGCCGGGAGGGAGGGCGGGAAGGAGAGAGAGAGAGAGAGAAGAGGGAGAGAGAGAGAGATACAAGTCAGAGCAGAAAAGACTGGGGACCAGATATAGTTCCCAAGGTCACACTTCCATGATCCACTGTCTTGAATTAAGCTCCATGTCCTGTTTCTATCACATTCTAATCTAAAACCTCAGAGTATGAACTCTCATAAATGAATTAATAAATCTGGAAGTTAGGGTCCCCAAGATCCACTCACTTTCCAAAAATCTATCAGATACCAAGTCTTCAATACAATGAGTCTTTTGGAAGGATATGTTGTTTCCCAGCTATAACAGACTGTGAATATGCTCTTGGGTTCTCTCTCTTTCTCTGTCTCTGCCTCTCTTTATCTCTCTCTCTCTCTCTCCATACACATGTGCACGTGTATGCACACATGCAGATATACATGCTGTCTTAGTTACTTTTTTCTCATTGCTGAGACAAAATACCCGATACCCAAAATGAAGGAAGGAAAGGCTTATTTATCTCACAGTTCATGGAGGTTTCAGCTCGTAATCAGTTGGCTCTGAGGTGGAGTGTCATGGCACAGGGGCTACAGTACACTGCAGCAGAATACTGCAGAGCAGAAAGAACAAAAGAGGGAAGAAAGCCGCTTCTCCTCCCTTATTCCTGACCTGACCTAGGATAGGTGCAGCACCCGCATCCCAAGCCCAGCGCTAGACAATGAAATGAACCAATCACAAACCCTAGATTCAGACACCTCCACAAAGGCTGTCACCCCATGTCCGGATGAGACTTTGGAGAGACATCCAGACACAAACCATAAACCATTCTTTTTCTGGAGATGAAAAACAACAAGTGATATGTATATATATATTCAAATAAATGAGTAACTATTTATTTAAAATTTTTATTATAATAAAATTCACATTGCCACTAACCTTCAAAATATTCTCTTTCATTTCAAACATACTTATCTCATTGTTTTTACTACTTTCTGAAGCAGTTTTGGAAGTCCTCTTTTTTGAGTGTCTTACAAGGTATGATCAAAAATACTGTGAATGCTGTTGTTGAGTGCCCTCTAACTGAAAGACAGCTTCATAAAAGCATTATAATACCCTCACAAATTTCTGGCTCTTCCTCAAAGTCTAAATGACCATGAAAAGTAAATGTTTTGAGTCAGTTCAGGGCATGGAGCCAAAAGATGTGAATGAAGACCTCCAGAACCGCCTCAGAAAGTGGCGAGAATGATAGGATAAGTATGCTTGAAGCAAGGGGGAGAACTTAGAGGGGGGTTAATAGCAATGTGTCTTTTTAGTTTTTATTTATTTTTATTTTTTAGAGACAGGATCTCGCTATATAGCCCAGGTTGGCCTCGAACCCATGGCAATCCTCCTGCTTCTTCTTGCTGGAATTATAGGCGTGCGCTGCCATGCTTGACTGGAACTTGTCTTTTACTGCAACACATTTTTAAAAGTCTAAACATTTGCTGTATTTGTCAATCACACCTCATATACATTGTGAGTGGAAGACATTGTTTGAATGATTTGGGTCCCACTGTCACCATATAGTCCTGAATCCTGAGTGGGTGTCGGCCTTTGTTTTCACAGAAATCTCATATGCAGTTAAGTGTATCTAGTGTTTTAGTGGCTTTCAAACTATTTTGACCATGACCAACAGTGAGAAAATCACTAAAATGTAATCCATTCAGATGTTGTTCAATGTCTATATATTTTTAAAAGCCTCACCAAAAGCACTTATCATGCCTAACACTCTCTGATGCTATTCTAATCTGTTCCAGTGTGTAAACATACTGGCCTCTGTCTGCTTGATTTCTTTTTCTTTTTTTTTTTTTAGATCAAAACCTTCTCATCTTTATTATTTATTTTCAGCTTTTTTCAAATCCATTTTATTCAAGGATAAAAAGAAAGAAAAAGAAAAGGAAAGAGGAAGAGAAAGAAGAGGAGAAGGAGGAAGAGGAGGAGGAGAAAGAAAAAGAAAAGAAGGAGGAGGAGGAGAAGAAGAAGAAGAAGACGACAAAATTTTCAAAACACATCAATCAGGGGCAACAATGGTACATACAATTGTGCATTGTCATTCCCAAATCAGTCACTCAGTGCACAAGACATCTGCATTCAATTGTCCAAACAATACCAGCACAGATCTTTCTCTTCAGCAAACTCAGAGAAATCAGTAGTACAACTATCTCAACTGTATATATATACATATATATACACATATATATACATATATATGTATATATATATATATGTATACAAACACACATATATATGTTTTGTCTTTCAGCGGGTCACACTAATGAAACAATATGATGTTTACAGTGTGTCTTATTTATTTCACTATTGAATATGTTCTCAAGTTGCATCCATTTACCTATAAAAGTCTCCAGTTTATCCTTCTTTATGGCTGAGTAGTAATTCATTGTATAAAAATGTTACATCTTTTTTATCCATTCCTCAGCCAGTGGCCATTTAGATTTTTCCAAGATCTGGCTATTATAAACTGTGCTGCTATAAACATGGGTGCACATATATTACTGTGGTACAATGCTTTTAATTCATTTTGCCCACTTGATTTCATGATCCATTAATGAATGGATCACAACTTGTTTTCTCAGACATTCCATCATTGATGTTACCCCACAGGCCTGAGGTACCACTCAGCTCTTTGCTTCTGCACTAAAGATGTTAAAAGCTATTGCTCTCTGCTTGCTAAATTTGTCCTTCCTTTGAAAGTTAAAAGCTACCCCAGATAAGTGTACTGGAAGCAGCATTAATCTGAGGCTTTCTCAGAAGCCAGCACTAATGCGCTGTCATTTGGAGCCTGCTGGGGATATCAGCAAGAGCACCTGGCACTGCCAATCTGCTTGACAGGCTGTCACAGTTGGAGGAGGGCTTTCCCTTTAGCTGCCCTCTGACGCAGCTCCGTGAAGGAATGCAAATGTCTGTGAACCTGGCCAGGAAACCTTGTCCCTGTTCCTGCAGCTGGTGTCCCTGCCACTGCGAAGAGCACATTGCCAGCGGGGGTTGTCTGGGGAGTGGCCAGACTATTGGGCAGAGGAGGGTGACCTCTTCCCAAGGTCAAGCCCCTACCACACAGTAATGTCCTCACACTTGTGTTTAGCTCTGTACAGGGAGACAGGGAGGGAACTGACATAGTTTATGAGTCATGTGAGTGTCCGGCCCTGGTCTGGCTGTATTCTTATGTATTCACTGAGGTAAGTGTAAGAGCTCAAATACTGAGTGCTTGCTTCACATTAGGAATTTACAAGTATTATCCTATTTCAGTCTCATAACTCTATAAGGTAGTCACCACGTGACTTCCAGTTTGGCATCTGGGGAAGCTGAAGCCAAGAGAGACAGAGGATAAATTCCCAGGGTTACACAGCTAGTGTGAAACACATCCAGGACCAGAGCCTGTTCTTATTATGGTCATCCTGTATTCTCTCTGCATTATAGACGGGAAATCGGCTCAGGAGGATTAATCTGTGAGTTCCAGGCTCCACAGCTAACAGGTGGTGAAGCCCGGATCCATGAGGAGTCTTTCCTGATGCCAGCACTTCGCTCCCTTATTAGAACTGCTCCACCCTGCTGGCCCTCAGCTCCACTGTGCCTGCAGCAATATAAGGGGGAAAGTGGTTGTTGTAAGCGTGCAAGTCGGATGGCAAGCCTACAGATAGAGAAATATGCGTTGTGGTGTTAACTCTCTCTACAGGCCTACTGGGGGTGGAAGGTGAACAGAGAGCATCTCTGATGAACTATTCTGTAACTGCAGACAAATATGCAAGCTCATGGACTCTTTTGAGCTCCCCAAGGACCAAAACAATAGGTATGAGTGTTTGAAATCTTGACTATAAATGTAAGACTTGAATCTTACTGTCTTCTTGAACCATATACCTTATAAGAGGCCAAGAGAAATGTCATATTTCATTGCTTAAATACATAGAAAATTACACAACTCTTAGGATACTGAGTACTCAAGTCTTTCTCCACTGTTACGTTATAAAGCCCTAAGAAAGGAATTTCTAATGCCAGGGAAGACATTTAAGATGTGAGAGAGGGCAGAAGTATCTGGACTGGCAACTGAAGGCATCTCAGCCATCACTGTAGTGGTGGTTAATACTGTATCTAGTTGTTTTATGGGAGTACAATTCTAAAAGCACTGCCTCAACAGAAACTTTATAATGCTTATACTTTGGGAACTTTATACATCACTGATGCATTAAGCTGCTGTTTTTTAATGTGATCATTTCAGTGGCAGAGTGGCCTACTGATAGTGACCTCAGAAGCTCCAGGTTGTGATAAGACAAAGCGGTGGCTATGTCTGCCCAGACCATTCAGTGTCTCCAGAGCCAACTTAGCTCAGCGCCTGCTGCATGGCAGGTGGCGTGGTATTGTTGATTTTCTTGTTTCGATTTCAAACAGAAAAGTTACAGGTAGCAAATTCTACAGACACAAATTTAGGGCTAAATATGAAGGTTTTGGTGACCCAAAATATGGTGACCCATATTTTCAGGGGCTAAGTCTAGGCTTTGATCACTAACTGACTCACATGAAAACTACATTAGCCTCCATGACTCTCTCTAAACAAATAAGCAAAAGCTCCCCAGGGCTACTTTGTTTGTTACCTTGCTTGCTTTTTGAAGTTTTACAGGTTAACATTTGCAAGCTTGGACCCATAGTGCCATCCACATGGAAGATGGACAAGTACTAGGAAAGACTCAGCTTCAGCTTCTTTAGTACAAATTTAATTAAGGTCAGTCAAGGGCATGGTCAGCCTGCTGCAGCTATTAGGTCATCTCACAAAGGAAGGTCAAGGGGAAGCAGAATCAAGGGCCAAAAAAAAAAAAGAATGAAAAAACAGAAGAAAATATGTTAACTGGAATAAAGGCTTCTGTACCAAACCCATGCAGGTCCTGGTCCTTCTAGGATTCAAAGTATAAAACAATAGCAAAATAACAGGAATAAGAGCCACACAGATCGCTGGGGAGAGTAGATCCAGGTCATCCTTTGTTTTCATTCCTGTGTTCATGAGAAGCAACAGGGAGATTACAAAATTAATATGGGTCTCAGCATTAACAGCTGAATAGACAAGGATTCTAAATGATTTCATTCCAGACTGTAAGCATGATGAGAGACCACGTCACACCCATTAGGGCCGCATTTACTAAAACGTTGAGAGTAACTGTTGCTGAGGGTGGGAGAGAGTGGAGCCCTTGTGCACTGCGTGGGGAAAGGTAAACTGATGTGGTTTCTGTGGAAAATGGCTTAGTAGTATCTCAAAAAACTAAAGACAGACTACCTCACTCAGCAATTCCACTTCTAAGTTATAACCAGAATTGAAATACAAAGGGTTGAAAATTGGGACTTGGATACTATTTTCAGTGGTTTGGTTTGGTTTTTGAGTCAGGGTCTCACTATGCAGTTCAGGCTGGCCTAGATTCAGTGTGAGCCCCTGGCTGGGTTCAAACTCAGTGATCCTCCTGCCTCAGCCTCCGAAGTACGGGGATTATAGGTGTGCGCCACTATGCCTGGCTGGATGCTCTTTTCAATAGCCAAATGTCCACAGATGGATAAGTGGTTGAACAAAAGCTGATGTGTCTATACAATGGAATATTATTTGGCAATAAAAAGGAATGGCATTCTGTCACAGGCTACAACGTAGACATTGGAAACATTATACTAAGTGTATTATGCCAGACGCAAATGATATACTGTGAGATGCCACCTACGTGAGGTACCCCAATTTGGAGTTAAGGAGTAGAGTAGGACTTATTAAGGGTTCAGGGAAGTGAGAATGAGTTATTGTTTCACAGTTTCTCTTTGAGATGAGCAAACATATTAGAAATGAAAAGTGCCAATGGTTGTACAAGGCCACCAATTAATGTCATGAATTTAAAACTAAAGGTAATTAAAATGGCATGTTTTATGATTTGCATAGTTTACTATCATAAAAATAGATCGCAGCAAACTGTGAATATGCAGTAGTAATGATGGGCACCGAGTTGCACAGCCAGACTCCAGCTCCCACACTCCCCGGGGTGCAGGTCTCCTGGCACGGGGCTGCCCACCGGGGTCTGCTGGTGTCGCTGGCCTGGAGCAGCTGCTGACAGTGGGAGCTGCACTCCCCCGCCCAATCTGCCTGGGGCTTGGGAGGTGGGAATCAGCCAGCTGTCAGGCTCTGTGGATTCTTCCAAGCAAGCTGGAAGTTTGGGAAGGTGCTGTCCCTAGCTCCATGGTCACAACCTCACTTTGCTCCTGCTGATAACTACATTTTGCTGAATAAACACTTCTTAAATCATTGTAAGCCCTTTGATCAATCATAAAAGATTGCATGATTATGTGTCCTCTCTGGGGGACAGGTCTCTGGGATCTGACTCACACTGCTATTCTGGAAGTCCTCTCCCGTCCCCAGACTCTTTCTCATAGAATTTTAATGGATCATGGTGGGAAAGATGTGTAGTTCTGAATAGCACACAGTCCCTTGAAGGCAAATTCATGGATCCGCCTTAGACTCTTCTGACAGTGTTCTGGAGAGGAGCACAGAGAGCAACAAGAATTGCTGAAGGCCAGTGCTGACCACTATAGCCCGTGCCCACAAAGCTAACAGGGAGAATAAGGCAAAGCACTTGAGAAGATAACCTCGAGATTAGAAGCTAGGAAAGTAAGGGCCCAAACATAGTGGGGGCACCTGGACCCCTTGCAAACCCAGTCTAGTGAAATCCACACAAGCACCAGTATCTTCATCCAAGGCTTCAGATGCAGACTTCTGAGGGAACCTGAGCCTGGGGCAGCGCCTGCTTCTGAGAGAGGCATTATGTTTGATAGCTGTTTATGGATTGTCCCCTGGGAGGCTGACATTGTGATGGTCTAAATTACTGTAGAACTTTGCTTTAATTTTTGCTTTTTCTTCTCGTAAGGGCTATGCCATGGCTAGCGATTTCATGTTTATTTTCCATTAGTTTTTATGGTGTTGAAGAAGCAACTTACTCAACACAGTATGTCCAGACACTTTCAAAACCACAGCTGGGGGTTTTAAATATCACTGACTCAGGTAATAAGGGAAAGGAGGTGGATTTTTTTTTTCATTAGACTTGCTACAGATTGGAAGAGAAGCTCTCTTTCAAGAATAATAAATGACAAAAGAATTGTTTCCCTAAAGCTAGAATGATTAATAAATTTTACTTCATCTATCCCCTCATGTGACACAAGGTTGGAGACTTTTATTATTACTGCTTTCTAGAAGAAGAAACAAAATTATTTAGCAGCAGGCTTGCTAGGATGAATTGCTACATTAAAACCAATATCCTTGTAGTTCTTCTAAATATGCCTGAATGTATCTATCCATTTTCCTCCCACAGGTCATTTATTTGTTAAGATCTGCTCTGTGAAAAAACTCACACTTCATATGTCAAACACCAGTTAAAAAGGCTTCTTCAGGTACGGTGCCAGAAGTCTTGACAGCCCTCCCTTTCACGTTGCCTCTGTGATTTCTGCCAATCCTGCCACTCCTGCACCTCTCAGCCACCTTGCCCAAGCACAGTCTGAATAGCAAGAAGCCCTGTACTTGGATGTATTGTCTGGGTCAAGCTCAGAGTGTGTTCTTGTGTTTCTTTCATCGTGGGATAAAGATGGAGGGCAGAGGTCAGGGGAAGCATGTCCAAGAGATAAAGGGCAAATGGAGATCTTTGATTCAAAGCCTGCGGCTCCTTCACTTTCTCTGACATAGAAATCCTATTCATCCCACACTTCCTACCACAAATCACTTTGGTACAACCTGACAATACAGCAGATACACAAGAACTTTTCCCACATCATATTACAAACACAGCCACCCTCTCCGGGGAACATCAGAGAAACTTCTGCGCTCCCACTTCCCCTCCATTTGTTTGAAGGATCAAGAGAACATAGCTCCATTTTCAACAAAAATTAAAAAGGAAAATCATGAAAAGAGCCAGCCTCCTCTCTTTTTTTTTCTCTCCTAATATATTGTTGCATCTGGGGAAGAGGAAACAGTGAGCGCCACTGATACTGAGTCCTCCGGGACTCCTGAGGGTCACTCCCCAGCTATCACAGGAGCTGGTCCTCCTCCGCCCGCCTGCAGAGGGAGTTTGTAATGCACGTGGAAGTTATACTGAGCTCTGCTTGGGGGGGGGGGGGGGGAATGGGGAGGAGGGAATCCAAACAAATAATTAAATAAAAAGGAAAATCTAAAAGTGCCACCCACAGCCTCAGGGAACCAGGCTGTGTTTGCACCTGAGGTTTCACAGGGCTTGCAAGATTTTAGCTTTTAAGGCTTTGGAAATTTGAGAAAGGAGATTTGAAAAAATATTAGCCATTTTCCTGCTGGTCTCCGCAGGCTGGCTAAGAACTGTGTGTTCCTTAAGGGCAGGGACAAATTCCTTCCACATGTTTTTGTTTTTGTTTCTTCTTGAGGTGTTGTCAATAGTGCCCTAGGCCAACTGACTCTGGAAGTTGTAACTTGACAGCATCTTGTTAATTCTGTACCGTGGCTACATAAACTGCACTGGATCGGATTTTCCAGAAAACTGGACCATCGCCCTTGGAGAATTATGTTTTTTAAAATAGAAATGTGTTTGTACAGGATTTAGTTCATGCATATGTTAGAGATGATTAATTCACTTTTAACAATGCAAGTTCAGGATCACGAACCCAGTACTGCACTGCTAGATCATGAGTCACCCCGGGAGCTATGGATGCAGAGGACACCGTAGCCTCACCGCACGGTCTTGGGGTTCTAGTCCCTTCCATTTATTTTCTGAGTTCCTAACTCTAGATCCATTTTTCTTCCTTTTTGCCATTTCTTCCCAGTATCTGTGTCTGAGAAACTATTGCCTTCTTCATTCTTGACTTTTTACTACTTCACCGTTACCTAGATCAAAACCAAGAGAAAGGCAGTTTGATCCTACATACCCACCTAGTGCATTATTTAGCAAGTCTGCTCTATTGCTAACAAATTAACAAGTGGGGTATTACGACAGCTGTGAGAATCTACTTGATCCTGTTAGTCACTGTATGAGGAGATGAACTTTACATCAAGTGGTGTTTTGATTTGTAATTAGAAAAATAGCCATATTGTTATTAAGAACTGCCTTGACTATAACGGAAAGTGGGCTCCCCAAATGGACTTCGGTCCACTCACTTTGAAATTTTTTGCTGCCTTCCTAGTCCGGTTCCAAGCTCTGTCTCACAGAATGTTAACATCACCTCTTAACTTGTCTCCCAGTAACACTCTGGCCTCCTTTTAACCCTGTACTCTACAGTGTAGCCAAAATGAGCTTTCAAAAATAGGAATCTCATTTTTCCACTTCTTTGCTTTCTTTAAAAACTTTTCTTATTGAATATATGTAATGACTGCTTTATTTTTGGGAAATCAGTACATATGTTTTGCTGACTATCCATGTCAGGCTCATATTGCGTGGTGTCCCTCTCTTGCCATGTCCTGCCACACTGACTTCTCTACTTAGCCAGGCTCTTTTATACCACCAGGACCCAGAGTGCGCCTCCTGTGTCCCATGGCCCCCTCTTTCTATCCTTCACTTCTCAAACTCAGTGTCATTTACTGAGAGAGGTCATTGGTCACCATTTCAATTAAAGCACATTCACTCTCCAACACAGAGGTACATGGACAGATCTATGAAAGCAAACACAAAGTATGGGAAAATCCTCAAATCATACATTAATAACCATCTTGGAAGACACATTAAGTTGGCAGACAAAATGACCTTGCCAGTAGACTTCATTTAGTCTGTGTCAATAGACTAAACTATATAACAGCTACTATAACAAAGAACACATGAATGAAGTAGTCCCAGCAGGAGAGATGGAGGTTACACATAGGCCCGACAGCATGACCTGAATTTACCAGGCTTGTGTATCTGCACCATAGCTGAGGAGTCTACATGCAACATGAGAACTGGTGCTGACCTTCCAATATGACACCATTGCTCAAGAACAGCAATTGGTCAGTTAGTGCAAGGCTGACTGCCTGAGCTCCCGTCATCGTGCAGGGTTAGTCATTCATTGTCACAGGAATAGACACACATTCTGGGTATAAGTTTGCCTTTGCTGCTTGGGAGAACTTAGCCACTAGTACCGCACAAGGGTTGGGGTTTTGAAATGCTTACTCTACTAGTACAGAATTAAACATAACATTGTATCAAACCATGGGGTACCTTTACAGTAAGTGAGGTGCAGAGTAGGGGGCCAAAAGATAGGTCCTCTCACAGATGGGCAATTAGCTTCTTGGAGTAAATACTCTGTCAGGGTGGGGTGCCAACTGCCAGGGCATGCATAGGATCGTGGACTTTCATATAGTGCTAAGTCTTCACTAGGAAGGGCCCAAGCGTGGAAATAAGACCTATCACTCTCAGTGACACACAGGGGGGTGACATTGTACTTCCTACCTCTGTAACTCTGAATTCTTCAGGCCTATAAACACTTATCCTCAAAAAAAAAAAAAGTACACTTTCACACAGGAACATAAAAAAAGTATCATTAAATTACAAGCTGCTGCTGCCACCTGGGCACTTTTGTTCTGTGTCACCAAAGATTCGCACACAAGAGAAGAGGTGCCATCTTGGTCCGAGAAACTGATGGGGCCATTGGGAGGAAGAAGGGCTGTTCCTGCACGATGGCTTGGGAGAATACGGTGGACCTCAGAGAGCGATGTGGGCTCCTTTGTACCTTTCCTACCACCTGTGATTGTAAATGAAAGGCGCAGCAAGTCCAGTCTGCAAAAGGCTCACGCCCTCGTGGGTTTGGGCTACTGTGATAAAATACCATAGACTGAGTAATTTAAAGCACAAGCATTTGGTTGTCACGGTTCTGAAGGCTCGGGAGTCTGAGATCCAGATGCAGGCAGACTTGGTGTCTGCTGTGAGTTCATCTCCTGGCTTCCACACAGCTATATTATCCTGTGGCAGAGAGATAAAGCGGTGGTGGAGTAGAGAAAGACAGACGGGGATGGGGTGGGGAGAGAGGATATCTCTTCTTACAAAGAATGGATTTTTCTGAATAGGAAGAGGATGACTAAGATGTCACTTGCCTGCAGATGGGCCGAAGTTCATTGATCTTTCCTGAAGTGCTGAGGAGGGCAGACTCTAGCACCCTTTTCTCCCTGGGGCTGAGGAGCTACCACTGGCACAGTGAGATGTTGGAGTGAGACGCTGATGACAGTTCTCCTTTGCAAAATTTCAGGTACTTGTAAATAATAAACTCAGTTTTTTTTAAAATATGTCTTTATTTGCTTAAATTAACAAAACATAGGTTACAACATGTTACTTTCAGTAAACTGCCTTTTCACCAAAGCACAAAGTAATATTCACAACTTGATTTGCTATACACTTGGAGTTTTAGTTTTTAAATAGCAAGCCAGAATTCTGTACAAAAACCAACATTTGGTGTAATGTTGTCCAAAATAAGCAAAAGATTTTAAAATATTAGTTCTGTTACATTTTGTTCCAGTAACACAAGGATCGTAATTCAAAACATGATGTTAGTATTTTGTGAAATGCCTTCAGGGTTTAATAAATATACTATGCACACTGAATTTTTCATGTGGTTAATCATATACCAATAGAGCAGTTGTTTTTTTGGGTTTATGAAAGGTTAGCTTCAGTCTCATGACCAGTGGGGAGTCAAATTTTTAAAAAGAGAGAATGAAAGAGGAATTGAAAGGCAACAAGAGAGCTGATTATAGGCCTAAATATAAAGGGTAAAAGAAAAGTATGCCACACAGCTTGTGGATTGGTTGGTCCTAAGTGACAGTGGTCAAAGCCTGGAAAGCATTTCGTCCTGACTCCTTTTCAGTTTCACAGCATCATGAAGATGATGGCATTGGATACTGATAACCTGGATGACTGCGCCTCTGTTCCCTAGTGGTGGCCCCAGTGGGTCCTTCTTCAGGCTTCCATTTGGGATAATCAACCTCTCAAGCAAGGCTGGAAGTCCTCCCACACAAGGTGTTCACATAATTTACTACTCAAATCTGGGATACTTTGGAGAATGAAGGACATACTATTGTTAATAACCCTGAGACCACAAGAATAAACAAGGGCAGTTTCAGACCAACACTGGGTTAGTTAGTTAATGTACAAAACCATTGGTTTTATACATTTATCGTTGGTTCCCAGAAGATCAGCGCTATCTCAGCCCTCAGGTTAGAGCTCATTAAGTCTCTCATGTTCAAGAGTTAAAAAACTAAACTAAGGCTTTGAGGTACACTCAACAATAAAATTTTGAATATTTTCCCTAGACATATTCTCTCTCTCCAAATGAAAATCTACTGAGAATGCTAACACACAAAACAGGCAAAATAAGCCACTTTGAGTGGAGCAGGCATGAGAGGTGAGTGCCCCTGCAACAGTTCTGCAGGAGCCTATTAGGAACCTCTGCCCCTCAAAATACAACTTGAAAACTACCATTTTGGACTTCACTCTCTCCAACTCAACATTACTGGTTCCTCAAACACTCCTGTAAGATTTATGTTGACTGGAAAAGACTAGCACTTACTGCCCACTCTGTTTCTGGCTCCTATTCCATCCAGAAGCAACAGGAAGTCCTCAGCAATGTGGTCAGGCATAGCATATGGCAGGTCAGGTACAGCCACAGTAGGTCCTCCATGTCCTCTCCATCGTCTCTGAAGATGCTCTGACCTCAAGACAGAGGTGGCAGGAGGAAGTCTAAGAAGCTATAGCACTTCGTGGTGGCCCTGATGCTGAAAGCCAGGATGTTAGGATGGTGTCGGGAGAAGTGGTCAGGGACTGCCAAAGCACACCAGTGTGAGGTGCGGTGGGGTGAGGTGGGATGGATGAAGAGCACTGAGGTTGAGAGAAAAAGCCAGCATCTGGCCAATGGAAATGGGCCAGAGCTTCCAAAGAAACGTCCTGGGAAGTGTGGGAGGAGGAAAAGCAAAGCACTCGGCAGTTTCCTGCTCTGTGAGGAGGAGCTGAAATCCTCACCAAAAGGCAGGATTTATATAAATGCAGACACAGTCCTGTTGGGTGTCACTGTCTCATCTGTATCTCTCACAGCCTCATCTGTATCTCTTTATTCAGGGCCAGGCCTGAGTGAGGCCATCTGCAGGGCCCATCATGGATCCAGTGTGTGGGCAGGAAGAGTGAGTCCACACAGGGCCAGTTAAGCATCTTTCAGCATATGAAACAGTCATGAACATCTCCAGCGTCGGGTTCTAGTACGCAAACCAGGAGTCTATGTTGCAGGGGGGGTGGTTCCCTCATGAGGCTTGTAGAGGACAGGTGTGCAGGGCTGAGTCTGCAGATGATTGCTGGTCTCCTGTCCTCTACCTCAGGCCTCAGAGTCACTATGAAGCCAGAAGCACAAGTATTTCTGGAGTCCCTGAGAAGGTGTCCCAAGAGATTAAAAACATGAGTAGGTACATTTCAGTCTGGTGAATCTTTCTCAATCCTGGCTGCATGTATCACAGTGGGCAATTTAGAAACTACCAGAGCAGGGGCCTCCTGCTTTAAGTCAGAATCTTGGGGGCCTGAAATTGGTAGTTTGGGAAAGGCTCTCTTGGATGATGCTAATGTGTAGTCAGCATTGAGCACACAGTGCAAGTCTCCAGCATAGCGATTATCTGGCCATTATTCTGACAGCCCAAATAGTAAGAACATGTTTCAGGGATAATTCCTCCCTCATCCCTGAGCTCCAGCTTTACCAGTGACAGCTCCCTCTGCAGCTGCCCTCTGAGGCAGGGGGCCTTAGAGGAAGGCAGCAGCGGTCCCCAGGAGGGGCCTCTGCTAAGGACACAAGACATTAGTCTGAGGAGCCGGGCTCCTACGCATAGCCCAGTCATCCATGAATATGCTCCAAACACCCCACTAGTGAAGGGAGCTGACACAGAATAGAGAGACCCATGCAGGAATCTAAGTGCTGGGATTCCCTCTTAGTGAAAACTGTTCATCATCTTAGATTTCAGGTTACATCTGCAGCAGCTACTTGGAATGTCCTTTTCAACAGCTAGCCCTTCTGTCACTTTTGCAGCATTTGTGCTTATGCAATTAAGGCTATTTTTAGATGTACAACTAGTAATATTTTCATTTAACTGGAAAAATATAACTTTCATGAATTCAACTAAATAGTTATTAAGAAAGTAACATGTCAAGCACCATCATTTTACAACTAGAAAGAAATTTACCATGTATTGCATATTAGTGAAAGGAAAATAGAATTTCTAAAAGCACCTCAAGGTCAGTTATGATTAGATATAGAGAAGAATATGCAGTTTACTACATGAGAGATGCATGAAGTAACACCAAAGACCCTGTGCGTGTGCGTTAAGTCTGAAGGGCCCAAGGAACAGCCTGAGAAGCATTTAATTAACCAGAGCAGCCCTTGCTCATTTAACCCGAGTCACTTGGAAAGCTGGGCGCCCCTTGCCAGTCCCCAGCAGACAGCAGTTCATGCAGAAAGCTCTATTTGCATCGCCTAGCTCTCATCTCCCAACTGTAATTTTAACACTGTCCACTTAGATACCCAAAAGCACTGCTTGTTTTTCCATTTTCCTCTCCAGTAATTCTTTTAAACTCTCATCTCTGTGTTTAAAGTATAAGTAATCAGAAAAAGAGGGGCCCCGCCGGGCACTCTGAAGAACCCTGAGGCTGAGGTGCTCCTCCCTGCCGGCCCCCTGGGTCCCCTGTCTCTGCTGGCAGGCTTCCCCGTAGGGGTCCTTGCTCCGATCCTCTCGCTCTTCTTTGATCACATCCTTTTCCTTTTCCTCCTCTTTTTCCTCCTCCTTTTCCTCCCCCTCCTCGCCCACTTCCTCCCGCCCCTGGAGGGTCTGCTCAGGCTTGGTGGACAGATCTCGGGGCACACAGAGCTGCTGGCTCTGGAGGGCCATGCCGGGGCTGTAGGGCTCCGCTTCACAGAAGCTCTCCTCCTCCTCTTCCTCTTCCTCCTCTTCTTCCTCCTCTTCCTCTTCCTCATGGCAGGGGCTGCCCCGGGCGCTCTCCCCATCTGACTGGAACACCGGCCCCTTAGCCCCACGCTTCTTTGAGAGGTCAAAAGGTTCCTCCTGCTGCTCCAAACTCCTCAGGACTCCTGTGGTCTGCACCAGGGCCATTCTGCCCCTTCCCAAACCTGTGAGAGCAGAGCGAGAATTCAGGAACCCAGGAAAACATCGTATGGACGGAGGTGGGAGAGGAGCCTAGGACTTCTCAAGTGGCCAGATTGTATACCCCAAACACAGGTAATTCCCAGCAGGGAGGTGGATGCGGGCAGCTGGTCAGTGTCTAAATCCACATACTTGCTCCTTTGAAGGCGAATTTGGCAACATGCACTAGAAGCTTTAAAAAGAAGCTTTCCCTTAGCAATGATACAACTGAGAATTTACATGATGCAAATCAGGCAGGAGCACAGAATGTATGTGAAAGGATGCTCATGGCCACATTTTTTTATTATAGTGGAGCTCTGAGAACAATTTGGTATTTGTCAGTTAACACAACAGTTCAACTACACAGTGAGGTACGCATAGATGCAGAGGTGACACAACAATCGACTAATGATAGGAAGATGTACTCTCCGTAGATATGATGTATCTGTATATTTACATGCATTATATATAAACATATAGCAGACCCAATTCTATCTTTCTCAAAAACTGGCTAGAATATTATGATGGTTAAGCTTAACTGGGTCCATTTGATTGGCTTAGGAGCTGCCTAGAGATTAATGGAGCCCATTTCTGGGTGTGTGTCGGTGGGTCGTGACAGTGTGACCTTGGGGACTGCATCTGGTCCCTGTGTGTCCTCTCTGACCTCTTCCTCTGCTCTTCTTCCTGGTTTGCATGGACTAACCAGCTTTGCTCTGCCACATTCTTCCTCCATTATGTTCCTACACTGAAGTCAGGAGACTGCGGACTGAATCCTCTGCAAATGTGAGCTGAGCCAATTAAACCTCCCCTCCTTTAAATTTTAGGTGGCAGATATTGTGTTCCAGTGACAGGAAAGCCAACTAATACAAGAGATGGATGCCAAAATCTCAAAATGGATTAGTCTTCAGTGGTTGTTACATTTTCTCTTCATTTCTCATTTTTTACAGTAAGAAAAGAAAATAATCAGCAGTAACAGATATATTCATCTTGAAATAAAGAGGTTCCACTAGGACCTGAGGAGGGCACTTTAAGATCGTGGCCGAGAGGGTACAGGGTTCCAAGCAGCTTCCAAAGCCCCTGCATCTGACTACAAGTGCCTCCATGCTGGGCACAGGGCTCTGAGAGGGTCTTACTTTCGGTTGCAGTTTGGGGGCCTCTACCAATGGGTTTGCAGGGCTGACAGACATGAGATAGCTTTATTTCATCCCACTGTTAAGTCTGCTGCCTGTGATAAGTCAACAGGCTCTGAGGACAGAAGCCAAGACTTTGAAGAGGAAAAGAAGGCACAGAGAGGTCTCAGGCACAGGTGTTCTGAGTGGGAGCACTCCAAGGAAGGACAGGGCCCCTGAGGACCAACTGCCTCCTTTAGGACATCCTCAGGCCCTGCAGCTGTCTGTCTTTGCCTCCTGCCCCACAGGTGGAACAAAGTTCACTGCCTCTGGAAAAATCTAGGTGCAACTTGGCAAGCTGCTCAGGTAACTAGAAATTCAATGAATAATTCTGGAGGAACACTGTTCAGGGAAAAAAAAAACTTGCTTTTGTTTTTTAACCAGGATTTTTCAAGGCTTGTGCACAAACTCCAGCCTGATGATTCCAGTTCCCTGTCAGCCAGGAGTCATCATAAACCCAGTGGGTATTGTGAAAAACCTGAAAGCTATGATTATTTTGTTTCACGCTGTGTGTGCAGGCATAAACCTCATTTATGAATCTGTACACTGATTTCACTACCTTTGTAAGCAGCACATACAAACAAGTTGCCCCTGGTTTTTGGCTGGAGTAGTGAGCACCAGCTTGATTCAGCAATCCTTGAGGTGGGATCTCAGTTCTGCCTTCGGACTTGCAGTCTGACGTCAAATAGCTTACGTAACACCTCCAGGAGCTGGGTTCCTCTATGAAAATAATGGTCTCTTTTTTGGGTTTGTGGAGGTTACCAGTAATGCTCCTCATGTCTGGCTCCATGCTTTGACCAATAATGATGGTGGTCACAAAGCACTTCAGATGATTTTGTCTTCACTGTCTTATGTGTCCATACACAGACCTCCTGGAGGGCAAAGATGACCTCATTCTCTCCAGCTTATCACTGAATGCAGCTCACTGCACTGGGCAGAGATGTGTCCTATCAAAGGACTGGTTAGTTAGGTGATGAGTGGGGAAGCCTGATAATCAGCAGGTCTGGAACATAAGCTTTTCACCGCAAACGTTCCTGGGGCCGTGAAGACAAAAGAGGGCAAGAATACTTCAAGTTCAAGTCTTCACTCAGAGCAGGGAGACATAAAGCCCTGCTCTGTGCAGAAGCTGACAGGCAGGAAAGTTGTCCTTGTGTGAATAAGAACGGGGGACATAGGCTGCTATAAGCACACGTATGCTGACAGCAGCGTGAAGACTTGTTTTTAAAAAGGAAATAAAAACCACTTTAGCAGCAATGTGAAAAGCTGCTATAATAAATATTGAGTCACAATGGTGTGCATTCAAATCCTGGCTCTGCTACCTTTCAGTTGAGTCATTTTGGGCAAATTAATCTCTTAAAGCTTTGGTTTTCTCATTTATAAAACAGAAATTGTAAGTGTTCCTTCATCTGGGAGTGGCTATGATGATTTAAGGAGTCAAAGCACCTGGTGCAGAATCTAAAACAAAGAAACCAATACTGGTGCCAACCGGCATCACCATCATCTTCCAAATTTACTCTCTCTGAGTTTCTTTAACTTAAAGTCTTCAGACCGCATTACATTTTTTTAGTAACATTTAAAATCTACTCCTCTACTCCACTGAGGTCCTAAAAATTACACTCTTGTTTTTGATGAGTGACCCCCAAAGTAACATCCCATAAAACCAAATTCCACTCCTGAGTGCTGCCCACCGAGCCTGGAAGCAGGAGCTTCCCAGGATGCGCTACCTTGAGCGTGAAGGCCCCGCTCCATCACTCCGTGCTTGACCTTCATGTGGCGCGTCAGGTTTCCCTTCAGGGTGAACTTGCTCGGGCAGTAGAGGCACTTGAAGGGTTTGCTGTCTGAGTGCAGGTGCATGTGGCCCATCAGATTGTGCATCCGGTTGAATTCCTTCCCACATAGCTGTCGGAGACAGAAGTGAGGACAGCACAGTCACCTTGCCAAGGACACTGGGCACAAAGTACAGGGGCCACACCCATTTCTACTCTGTGAGGACTGGCATTTCAAACTGCTTCCAAGGAACACATCCCTCCGGAAGTCAGGAAGAGGTTGTTGCGTCCTGCCCAGCCTGAGAGGTGGCAGGGGAGGCACAGATGTATGAGATAGGGATTGGTGATGTCCTGAGATCTTTAAACACTGGATAAAAATTGAAAAGTTTCTTTGGAATGTAACCTTTGGAAAGGAGGAAAGCTGATCCGAAAACAGTTTCTGGAACTGATTCTCTTTATTAATATGGTTATTTTTGATATTTGATTTTTATAGAGTGTTTACAATATGGAAGGCAAGGCATTGTTTTAAGTCTGCCAAGGAATAGCTTAATTTTCACAACAATCTCATGAGACAAAGGGTATGGCCACACCCATCTTACAGACAGGGAAACTGAGGGCTTAAGTTGCTCTGCCAACTCCACAGCCAGTGAGCACCAAAGCTGGGGCAGGAATTCAGGCCACTGGATACTAGGGGTGACCACCACTCTGTACTGGATTCTCTTGAAAGATCTTTTCTGTTAGACTGTGTCAAGCAACGCATTGCTAAATTTTATATTGCTGATCATTGGAATGAATTAGAATTCATTCTAAAAGAAACAGCTAAGGAGATGATGTATCTCTTCTCTATGCAGAGATTTAAAGACATGAGAATACTATCTCAGGAATACACAGAAGTCATTTATTCTCTTATTTTTTGTAATTTCTCTTCACTTCCTTCCAACTACTGCTTCGATGTGTGACAGACCAGAGCAGTGGTTCTCACACTGGTTCCACAAGAGCAGAGCTTCTTTAAAAGGCACTCTGTGGATTCTAGACTGAATTTTTACTCATGAAAGTAACGTATTCTTTGGGGTTGTGACAGCTGAGCTGCTCTGAAGGAATGGACAGACTGAAGAAACAATGATTCCTTGAGGTTGGGCTGAGAGGATGCTGGTGACTGAGAGGCTGCCTCCCGGGGCTGGCACATGTTCCGCAGATAATCTAGAGATGGGTTATGAGTGATTGGTTCTGTACTTCTGAATAATCCGTAGCTGGAGATTTTAAGTTGTCACTCTGTTTTGCTTCCATACAGTGAATGGAGCCTCCGGGGTGGGGCTGCAGGTTCAGCACCAAGAACACCACAGTCATTTGAAAATGGCACCCCCCAGAAAGAAAGGAAAATGGGGAGGGGCTTGTTCTATTTCACCTTCCTCAAGAGAAGCAATATGTAGGATACTTTTTTTTTATTCTGAACCGAGAGTTATTTAAGACAGCAATCTGTGTCAGTTTTTCATGTGTATAAAAGTTTTGATAGTTATATTTATCAGCTTAGTATGTCCATTTCTTTATTATGGCTAACAAAACAAAAGCTTTGACCCTAGAAGGTACACATTAGAGATTTGACATTTCCAGTGCTGGGTCATTTTTTAAAAAGTATACTTCTTTGAGTTTGTGGAATGGCTCCTGATTATTTGGAGAGATGTTGCTGGTTGCACTTGCTTGAGTGTGACCAGTACCTACCTGATACAGTATTTGTTTAAACTGTTCTCACCAGCAGAGTGCAACAGCCTTAAAGGCTGTGTCCTCCTTAATATAATATCCCTTGCCTAGCTGATGCACCATGGGCTCTCAGTGAGAACCTGCTGAGGGCAGTGGTGGAGCTCACTGCAGCAAAAAGAAGACAGAGGAAAAATCCCCAAGTGGGGACTCACAGGGATGTTGGGGGAGAAGAGCTGGAGGCTGAAAGAGCAAACTGCACAAGTCCAGGCATGGATGGGGCCTCCAGGCCAGGCAGACATCATTAAAAGGAAAGGATGAGTGCCTTCTGAACTTGCTCTTGGGATGGGAGTATTCATCCTTTGGTGAGTTTGTGGTTGCTGAGGTATGAAAAGCTGGACTACCCTGAGAGGATTTTGTGAAGAATGTAGAATTTTAGCCTAGTCTCAAAGACTGTTAGAATGTCATGTTTTGACAAAAGGATAAAGTTTCAGCACGTACCCCTACCCCTCTTTTGAGACAGTCTCACTATGTAATTCAGGCTGGCCTTGAACTCACTATGTAGCCAAAACCAGCCTTGAACTGTCAGTGATCCTCCTGCCTCCCTTCAGGAGTGTTGGAATCCAGAAGGCATGTGCTACTTCATCAATTATTTTTAGACATTTGTGTCAACCTCACATCACTGGCAAATAACTGCCACTGTCGTGACAATGATCTATGATGTGCCTGTCTTATCGACTGGGACTGAGTGAAGGACAGACCTTGAGAATCAGTCTGAGGTCTAACCTATCACCTTCCCTGCCTAAAACTCCATACACCACAATGGCTACCTCTACACATGTCCTAGGTAATTCTTCAGCCTTTTTCTGTATTTTTATACTCTATTTTTTCTGGCTCAATTTCTTTAGTGCTGAAATTCTTGAAACATTTTAGTAATACGGTACATGATGACATTATGTCTTTCAGATGATAGTGTCAAGACCTATAGCCTTGGGAAAAGGCCATTGTGGGACATGACTGTTTGGCTATATTATCTTGCTATGGTTGATAATGTAAATTGATTTTTGTATTTTGCCAAAATTCAATTTTATATGCTAGAGTTATCCTTTGTGATTTATAATAGCTGACAGAGCATTCTCGAGCTCCTGGGGGTGGATCAGTTTAAAAGATGTTTGGGGCCCGGACAGTGTCCCATCTAATTGCTAATGGAAGAGTTGCCACCCTTTCTTTGAAAGCAATCTTAGTATCAAGCACATGGCCCAACCCATACTGCATTTAATGAATATCCAAATCTTTGGCTGAAAGAATAAAACAAGTTGGGAAAAATATCATTACCCTATGCAAAATTCTATAAAGCAGCTATGACCAGTTCTATTACTAGACCTGTACACATTAGCTTGCAAACTAAAATCCTCCCTGGCAGGATGGAGCCAGTTAACTCTGGATCTGGGGCCTCCAGGCCTCCATTCATACCTTAACAGTGGATATTTAGCTTCTTCCTCTCAACCACTGACCCCTCCACAAAGCTCCTTGGTCCTTATCCAGAACATGAGGCTTCATCTCTGTCTCTGGAGATTACCCTCACATAACAATGCACATGCGTGTAAAGATATTTTATGTTGGGCTGCGGATATAACTAAGTACCTGCCTAGCAAGCATGAGGTAGTGAGTTTGATCCTTGATTTAAAAAAAAAAAAAAGATATTTTATGTCCCTGAAATTCAGGGATAAACTTCTCTGACTGTTGGTGTGGATAGGGCAGAGAAAGAGGCTAGGCCAGCTTAATCACAGACCCAGGCCTGAAGTGGTTTGAGATGTAAGCTCAAAGCAGAATCCTTGCAGTCAGGGAGGGGAGTTGTACTGCAAAGAAGAATGGCTGCGAGGGAGCTGAGAAACTTCAGTTTCTTCTCTGGGAGAAAGCAGCCATTTAAGTTAAAGTTCCCTTCAATCATGAGGTGTAAAGCCAAGCGCTTGCCCTGGTCAGGACTTGCAGGATTATCTCCTACAAAGCTGTGCAGAGTTTGAAATAAAGTAGGAGCAGGAAGCTGATGGAGTGGTAAGGACTCAGCTTTCATCTTTTGAAGACAGGGTGGGCCTCAAAGTTCAATTAAAAAGTTCAAAGGCCCTGGGCTCAATCCTCAGTACAGTAGGTTGAGAAGCTGGGAGAAACAGCTCTGTCCACCAGTGCTGCTCATTAAAGAGTTCAAGCAGAAGGTATGTTTAAGTGTATAAGATAGAAAATGATATCACTGAGTTTTATTGGATCATTGAACAGAACTGTTTGCAGTCTCACTGTTGGAATGTCCACTTTACAAGCTTAACTTTGTGACTTGAACAACTATTTCTAAGATGACAATATGTAATCCATTAACTAGTGATTTCCTACTGTTTATTTTTTTTCTGTAAATCTGTATAACTTGTATCCTTTCTCTGCTTTTTTTTTCTCCTTAAATAAAATTAAAAAAAAAAAAGTTCAAGCAGAGAGCATCGTGGCTGAGATGACCATTGGAAAGGTGAAAACTGAGACATCCGAACTATGGTTTAAAAACAGGTTACATGATCACAACAGAGCAGACACACAGGTGACAGTAGTAATTCAGAATGACAGAGAACTTTGTTTCCTGTACGACGATGACAATAATCACAGTATCGTATGAAGGATTTTGGGAGAAACAAATGAGATAATTTATGTAAAGCACTTGGCAAATAGTAAAAGCTCAGTAAATACTAGCTTGCAGTACTATCATTATCTAGTATATGGTGGACTATTTAACGTTCCAGAAACAGAAAGGTTGTTGAAGAAGAGAGTGTTGTCTTTTTCAGCAGATTAACTGGAGGGGATATCAAAGGCAGGACCAAATGAGGAATCCTCCAAGTAAATCCTTGTTGGCTGACTTGGGGCCTAACAAAAATGCAAGCAGTGGTGCTGGCCCAATCTGGGAACTGTGCATGGAAAGAGAAGATTCAACCTAGGTGACAGGATTCAGTGATCCTGCTACCTTGCTCCCCAGTCCTCAGGGGGGCCTGAAACAGCAGACCACCCAGTTTGCTTCAGGCATCCTTCCTTCCGAGGTCCAGGGCCTGCAGGCTCCTCAGGGATGCACAGCCCATGACCCCCCACAGCCACTCTGGCAGCCAGCAGTGACTGTGGAGAGGTTGGCTCTGGGTAGAGACAGGGCAAAGGCAGTGGCAGCCCCCAAGCCAGGGTCAGAGGCCCAGAAACTGAGTATGAAGCACACTGCCTCGCTGCAGACAGCCTGAGGTGAGCTTCAGAGCCAAGATGCCCCAGGAAGCCGGTGTTTTCCTGTTCTGGACGCAAAGGTCAAAGAGCTGCAGCGTGCAGCCAAGGAGAATGGCCTCCCTGAACTGCCCTTCCCTTCCATTCTTCCCCCTCTCTCCTTTAATAAGAAGGGTGTTCCTTTCCTCAAAGGGAGAGAGAGGGAGGGAGGGAGAGAGAGACTGTAAACTGTCCAAAAGGACCGTGAGAAAACAGGAAGCTTTGAAAAGTACAAGAGAAAGCAAGATGAAATCTATTTGCAGGCCGGCCCCTGGGGACATGTGAGGCATTGTTAAGCAGGCAGCTCATACAGCTATATCCTTCCTTCTGCCAGAGGAGGCCTGTGCTGCCAAAGGGCTGCTATCTGGTCACTGCCTTAACCCCCTCTTCGCCAGCCCAGAAAGCCTGACCCCAAGCACTGGACCCCCACAGAGTCCTCCATGTGATTGTCCCTCTGTTGGAGCATCAAAGAACGAAGGAGGAAAGAGAGTCTGTTAGACAGCAGAAGGAAATGGAGACCCTTTTGTGGGAGACCTCACCCCTCATCTAAAGGCTCTGCCCTCTGCTCCAGCCCTCAGCTGCTGATGACCTGGTGATTCATAACTTAAGCAGCTCCCAGCTTTACCCATCTCAAAAGAGAATTTGTCCCGGAAATTCTGGATGCCTGCTTTTCCTGGACAGGTTTTCCAAAGACGGCAGCTGGTTCTTTGCTATTATGGAGTGTGGCTGCTACGGGGATAGTATCCAAATCAACCCCTGCGTGCTTACGCAAAATCTGGGAAGCAAGTTCTGAAATACAACTTGAGTATCCAGGCAGAGGTCTCTGGAAAAACTCCAGGTGGCTGCAAACAGCAAGGTCAGAGAAGCAAGAAGTTCAGAGGCTGAGTCAATAGCAAAAGAGCTCAGAAAGGCGGTGATTTTTTTTTTTTTTTTTAAGAAAAGAAAGAAAGAAAGAAACATAGACTGGAAAACTTTCCTCTCCTCTAATTTTCCATCTTATTGTTAATGCCTAATCCCATAGTTAGAGAACATTGCTGCTTGCTGGAGGGAGCCGTTTCCATTGAACCCAAGGCCAGAGAGAACCATTTCATGTTACAATAGGGAAAGGATTTATATTAGAAGAAAATGTTAAGGGTGAGAATCCCAAGAAATTTGAATCTTACAAAAAAAAAAAAAAAAAATCTCCGTTGGTGCAAGTTCTTGGGTAAAGGAGAGAGAGCTAACCGCTGGGGTGTGGTGGCAGTAAGACCTGCCAAGGACAAGCGTGGGAAGAGAGCAGATGAGTTCTCTGGGCTCGTTCTCCAACACTGCTATGAGTGCGGCCAGCCAGCCATTTGTCTCCGATGGCCTTGATATGCAGAGCAATGAGCAATTGGCCTCCATCCCTCTGTCTGCTTCCAAACCCCAAAACCTTCACAGAGGGCCAGATTTCCAAGAACCTAGCACAACAGCTGTGGAAGACCAGGTCCATGACACCATCTGGAGCTGGCCCACTCCCAAAATGTTTAAAAACACTGAAAGCCTGTTGAATAATCTGTGAACTCAGACGCGCTCTAAAAGTCTTTTGACATGAAAAAGAGTGGTGGTTCAGTACGGACACCCAACAAAGTGACGCTTGGCAGGGCTTTGAGAATATTTCCCAGGGGTTTGTACTTTTGAGGATGATCAGTCCAATTCCTGTGCCAGGCCACCTCCCAGTGGGAAATGTTGCAATGTCAAAGCTGGAGAGGAATCGCCTGGCAGTTCATTTCTGGCACTTTGCAGGAGACAGGGAGCTATGTACCCAGGTGACTGACACCCATCATTGTTTCAGAGATGTAAAAGAATAGAGAAAGTTCACCTAAATTCAATAAAAATACCCTCAACTGTCCAATTCTTTCTATCTAATAATATACAACACTCTACCTGGCCTCCTCATCTATGGAATGACCTCCAAAGAGGACGTGGCCATCAGAATTGTCCTTTGCAGATGACCAGTCTGCTTCCTGGGCTGGGAAGTAGAAACCCTGTATGGCTTCAAAGCTGGCCTTCCACTTTGCACTCTCTCATGGGTTCTGCTGCTGTGGACCAGACATCCAGAGCCTAAGCAATCCTCAGGAAGAAGTAAAATAGAGTTTCTGAGCCATCAAACTGACATGGCAACCCTTGGGATGGGGTACGGTGCACTGGGATGGGGTAGAGCAGGAGACAGCTGTCCCTGAAGAGAGGCCTGGCACATCCAGCAAGGGTGGCATCGTTGAGCCCAGGATGCATTCCTTTGTGCAGTTTTTGTGTACTAGAACCACAGAGAATTCTCTAGCTCCTCAGACACTATCTGTCCCAAGAAATCGAGGCCCTTGGGAGTGGAAAACCAGACCCATCTCTTTGCCCTTGAATCTCAAAAGCCCTCACATCAGGAACATTGCCTTCCTGATTGTACCATTCCTGCTGGACCAGAATGGATGAGGTGCAGGTAGGAAGTGGTTGGACTGGATAGATATGAATTTTTTTAGGCAGATAACTTCCTGTGTGTTTTAACATCTTTACTCCAAGAATAGTTGAAAATATATAAACATAATCCATGCTTGAAGCTCAAGAGTAAACACAGCACAGGGAATAAAGAACGGCAAAGACACCCTGATGGCACCTCAGAAGACAGTGAATTTGTGCAGAAGGGAATAGTGATTTGGAAGAAAAGCACTTTGTGGATTCAGTGAAGTGAGAAGGAAATCAAAGAAGTGCCTGAAGAGAGAGAGCAGAATGGCTCTATGGCCAGAGAGGGGCCCTCAGGTATACAGAACAGGGTCTCCACTCAGAAGCGTTCAGAGCTTGATTTGATATTGTGCCCTCACTGACCTGCAATTCTCAATACTGTCTGAACAAGGGGCCTTGCATTTTCATTTCGCACCGGCCCTGAAAATCATGTACCCTGTCCTGCATGCTGCTTCCTCTCCTTTCAGCTTAGCTGACTCAAGATGGACATAAATTGACTTTCAAACCACTGGGAACTTGGAGAAAAAGAAGGGAAACAGAAGTGGGTGGCAGGAAAAGGGCTGGGGGGAGAACCTCCCTCTGCTGCGTCTGGACAATACCCGTACCGTCTAGGGAAGCGCTGGTTCCTGACCCCTCGCCCTGGCCAGGATTGCCAACACAGGAAAGCAGTCAACTTCACAGGGGGTTCCTTCGAGAGGGGGCCGCTCTGCAGAGGAATGAAAGTAGAAACAGCCCTTGGAAGCAGGGGACCCTACTTCAGGGATACGGACCTCCGAGAGCATCATTCACACCCCACGCAACCCACAGTAACAGAGAGAAGGGAAATTTCCATTTCAAACAGGAGAGCGCTACAGATACCTAAATGTGGCATTTCCCCCTGTCCCTTCAGTCTTTCTTTTGCCACTGGAGCGACACTTGCCTGTACAGCCCTTACACTACCCAATCATACGCAAGACTCCCCTTTCTAGAAGTGGAGAAAGAAAAGGTACTGGGGACTGGGGCAGCCTGGGAAGCCTAAGCGCTCTGAGTAACACCAGTCAGTGCTCGGGCTTTACAGATCTCCTGCTCACACATATTCTCAGATGATGAAATAAAGCCAAATTAATCTGACAGAAATTTTAACAAAGACACTCAATTTCTGTGTTCTGTGGCACTTGGAATTAAATGAAAAATACTCTAGAAGACTGCGCTCTTAGCCAGAGCAAGCATTTCTGAGGTGCTTTGGAAGGCAACCTTTAGAATTCCTTTGCTTTATCTCTATTTGTGTAATATTTTGATGTACATGCAATGATTGTACACATTTGTGGGATACATTGTGACATCTGTATCAATCTATACAATGTGTGATGATTAGTCAGGATAATTAGTAAATCTGTTGTCTCCTTTTTCATTTCTTTGTGTCGGGAGCACTCAAAATCTTTTCTTCTGGCTATTTTGAAATATAGATTAAATTTTTGTTAACATTAGTCATTTCACTATTACTCAACATTACAACTTAGTTCTCCTAGCTATATTTTTATACAACACTCAAATCAATATTCTCCTTCCTCCTCTCTTGCGCAGCCTCTGGTAGGCACTGTCATACTTCTACAAGATCAACTTACTTAGCTTCTACATATGAGTTAGACCATGGAGTTCTTTTGTCTTTCCACGCTTGGCTTATTTCACTTAACATAATATCATCTAGGCTCATCCACGATGCCACAAATACCAGTGTTTTACTTTTTATGGCTGAATAATATTCTAATTTTTCTTTATCCATTCATTCTTTGCTAGACATCTAGGCTATCGTGAATGCTGCAGCTGTCATAAGCTGCAACCATCCCATTAATGAGCAGATATTACAGGAAGGGAAACCAGCCTGCCGGGACCCCTTTCATCCTTCCAGGAGGCCTGTCTTCAAGTCAGAAGGTTCAGTCCCAGTGTGAGAAAGGGAGAAAGAGACGTAGAGGAAAGGAAGATTTTGTTGGAAGCTTTTCTGACTCTTCTCTCTGTTCTACTCATTGGCTTGGAAGGAAGACAGGGTCACACCAGGTTTCTCCTCTGCTTGGGGACAGGAGCTCTCCACATTGGCTTCATCCATGACCAGTTCCATTCTCTAATGGGCCTTCCATCTTCAAGGCTTCCCCAACTGCCTGGACACTGATGCCCAGTGACACAAACAAGGTAAGCTGCAATGGACCAGCCAAGGGCTGACATCAACACAGGTGTGCTGGAAAGAGGGGCAGAGGGGCAGCATGGAAGATAGGATTAGAGTTTGCTACACACCTACTCTGAGCCTCATTAGGCCGCTGATGAACCAGAGAGGTTCTCAGGGACTCCTTCTCCCTCGGAAGTGCACATTTCTGAGCATGCGTACAATCCTCAAACCTCCCTTTATGCCCACCTTGCATTTGAAAGGCTTCACGTCAGAGTGGACGATCATGTGTGCCTTGAGCGTCTGTTTCTGCACGAAGCTCTTGTAGCAGAGGTGACACTGGTAGGCACGAATGTTGGTGTGGATCAGCACATGTCTCTTCATGTTGGCCAGCAGAGTGAACTCCCGCCCACAAATACCACACTTGTGCTCCTTCACACCCTGCAGCGAGAAGAGAGTCAAGACTTCGTGGTTAGCAGGAAGCAGGCTTCCATGGAGCTACAGGCTTTGTTTTCCTCTCTGCCACATAACCCACAAAGAGCTCAGTCAAGGTCCAAATGATGTTGTCTTAGCCTTGTTAAATTATTATTTTCTTGAAAAATGTAGATTACATCATCTTTTTTTCCCTTTCTGAACACTGAAGCCTGGCCAGACCATTAGAGAAAAGGAGCTATTGTCCTTGTTATTTCTACTGTAGCCACTGGTAATTCTACAACAGTTTTAAAGGATTAATAGGATTCCAGTAAGATCACTGTGGACTGGCATGCAAAAGGAGTCTATAATCCAGCTTTCACAATAATGAAAACACAAAATCTAAACTGCCATGATCATTTTTCACATAAAAACTGCTACCCCCTTGAGTTCTCATTAACAGACTCAAAAATCCCACAATTTAGCTTTACTTCAGTGGATCACAATTTGGTAATCACCCTCTCCAAAAGGTTCCCGGGCTTCCCCCAAGCCATAGTATGCCATGGTTCTGAAGTCTTCTCTGACTGGACTCTTTCTGATGGGAAAATGTGGCAGGTGACAGCATTATGAATTAGATAACAGGGCAGGAGATTGTCTAGTTTCCTTGGCACCTGTAGAGAAGTGTTTGGGCACCTGAGCACCCATACCCTCAGTTCAGAGCATTTCCAGGGGTACAGCTTGAGTTGAGTATTAGATAAACCTGAGACAACAGTGCTTCCCTGAAAATGCCTGTGCAAGGGATCTTGATCCAGAAAGTCCTCGTTTTCTTTTTTGTTTTGAGCCTGGATCTTGCTATGCTGCCGAAGCTGGTTTCAAACTCATGTGTTCATGTGGTCCTCCTACATCACCCTCCTAAATAGCTGAGATTTTGAGTATATGCCACCATGCCCAGCCAAAATAACTGGTGAAATGGAAGACTTAGATAACCACGGTACTGAAATGATCCTTACAGGATCAATTAGAACAAATTACTAAAAGAACAAGCTTGGAAAAATCTATGTTTCCTGGTTTTCATAGTGGCCTTAGGAGGTGAGAACTCAGTTCAAGCTCAGTTCTGACTGCCTGTATTTTGATTTATTCAATTTTTGACAAGATAAGACAGTATCAATCCTTGGTTTTGATGAGTCCATGGTACTAAAAGGTAGGCAAAGATTTCTGCCCACCTACTTACTGGTTATGAAAACTTATCTAACCAGGTCTTTTCCTAGTATAGACTTCTAAAGATGAAGTGGAGAGGGGGGACCCTTTTTAGCTCACTTTCTTGTCTTTGGAGATGAACATGGGTTCATACAAAAAAGAGTAGGAATCCACTACTTTCAAAAATTAAATTTTAGTGTCTTTTATGAAAACAAATATTTAAATGTATTGCATATTCAATGAGTTTAAAGATATGAAATTGATAAAAATATTTTCTTGACAGGCTTCAAATTTTATTATATGCATCTTTCTTTTCTCCAGATATTCTCTGGGGCCAGGGATATGGCTCAGTGATACATTACTATGTACATACATGAAGCCTTTGATTTGACCCGAGAACAAAAAAAAAATTTCCTCTCCAGGCTTGGCTATGATCTGGTTATCCCAGATCAAGAAGTCACTACATATCACTGCTTTTGGAATTTCTTAGAATTTCGTATCCAAAGTAAGACTCATATATTGGCTGGTGTAAAAGACAAGAGAATAGGAACTGTAACTTTGGAGCTACAAAGCAAGCTGCAAAATTGAGCTGCAAAAGAAGCTGTTGTATCCAATGGGAACAGCAAAAGGGATAGAGAGGGTGCCAAGGGGGTGGTGGGGTGAGAGAGGGAGGGACAATCTTTGTGAGTTAAGTGTTTCGGACTCAGGCCCTGGTATCAGGGGGCTCCCAAGTGCCCATCCCAGGCCTTGGTGTCTGTATCTGCAAGTCAGGGGTCACTCTCAGAGTTGCTAAGAAATGAATGAGGGTCAAATGAGGAGTAAAGCATGTGCATATAGCACGTCTTCAATAAATTCTACTTCTCACTGTTGGCTGACATTTCTCATTACAGTGGTTTGTTTTCCGCTTTAAATGAAACTTATTTCAGGTACCAGGCTATTTCTTCCAGTTTGACTTCATTGTCTATTATCTTACAGAATCTGTATGTTCTAAAATGTACTTTTTGTACTTGGGCAGGAGCCCTTGAAATAAGCAATGGTTCTATTTGTGGCTAAATCTCAATCTACCTTTACTGATGGCTCCTGCGTTTGGCAGGCAACTCCCCTCAGATGGTATGTACAAGTGTCTTTGGTAGGGCAGGGCGGGAGCTGCTGTGCAGTGCCCCAGGGCAGCCCTACATTTCATCTCCGCTGCAGGGCCAGAAAACTCCCTGCGTTGTGTTCTAACAAATGAAGCCAATTGGAGTGGGACAGAAGCATTTTTTTGATTGGATACATTCTTCCATTGTCCTTTAAGAATTAAAAGATGCTGTAATGAGACTTTAGTTTCCTAGAAATCTTTTCTGCCAAGAAAACCACTGAGTCCAAGGTTGAAGGTAGAACTCACTGGGGCAGAACTCTTTCAGTAGCTCAAAGCAGACTCAAGTCAGCTCAGCCAGGGCAAGATCTGAGAATGCCACTAGGGCGTTGTTTAATTCATTCCGAATGACTCCAGGGTATGCTTACAAACATAGCTAAATTTAGACCAAAAAGCCTGAATATCTCCTTGAAGACCTGAGCTTAGGGAAGATAAAACCAAAGCAAACAGAGAAGGATATTTCCTCTTGCCTCCACAGAACCAACCACAGGCCACTGAACACAAGCAGCCAGGACCGCAAGCCTCTGGAACGTGCCCCGTGAACCCAGTGCTGCTCCACTCCAGCCACCTGTGCATGAAGCAGGTCTCGGGGTGGGGCAAGCAAGAAACTGGAGAGGTAGCTGCAAAAGCCCCGGAGAGTTCTCCAAGGCTCTCAGTGGCATATGCCAAGCATGGTGAGAATAGGGTGTGTTGAAATACTCAAATTGGTGGCCAGGGTGAAGTCCCTAGAAACAAGGGATTCTTGGGGGCTAGGCAGCAGCAGCCGTGCAGTAACACCATCCCTCATTTTCTTTTCTGGATATCGGCATTCTTTGCTGCCAGGCCCACCTTACATGGGAGAGGGCTTCCTGACAGCCTATGGCCTCACCATTTGCCAATCCTCTAAGGTAAGGTAAGGTAAGGTAAGGTAAGGTAAGGTAAGGTAAGGGGGCCCTCCTCATTTCCGCCCCGGCACCCTTCCACCCTGCGCAGTACCTTGTGGGTAAGTGAGTGCTGCTTGAGGTGGTGGGGCTGCACGAACTCCATGCCGCACTCGGAGCAGATGTAGGGCCTTATGTCCTTGTGCTTCATCATGTGGTTCTGCAGCTGGCTGGGGTACTGGAAGGTCTTGTCGCACTCGGAGCAGTTGTACTGGACCGGGCCCCGGTGCGTGGTGAGGTGCCTCTTCAGTTGGGCCAGCGTGGGGAAGTCGAGCCCGCACTCCACGCAGATGTTCTCCCGCCCGCTCGCGTGCTTGGCCTCGTGCGCCTTGAGCTCGCTGGGGTAGGCGAAGCCCCGGCCGCACACTCGGCAGTTGTGCGGCTTCACCTCGCTGTGCTGCATCATGTGGCGCTTGAGGTGGCTGGTCTGGGTGAAGGCCTTGTGGCACACCTGGCACTTGTGGGGCCGCGTGCCCTGGTGCGTCAGCATGTGCGTGTGCAGATGGCTGAGCTGCTTGAAAAGCTTCCCGCAGCGGCTGCACGCGTGCGGCTTGATGCCGCTGTGGCCCAGGATGTGGGTCACCAGGTTGTACTTGGAGGTGTAGGACTTCTCACAGGTCGGGCACTGCCAGCGCTTCTGTGCCCCGCCCACGTCCACGTAGTAGCTGTCGTCGATCTGCACGTTCACGTCCACCCTCTCCACCTTCTGCTTGGCCTCCTTGCTCTCTGGGGGCTCTGCCTTGCGGGTCAGCGGAGGCTCCGGCGGCTGCTTGGGCAGGAAGGGGTGCCGGCCGAAGGGGAAGGGCGAGGAGGTGGGCACGAAGAAGGGGAACACCAGGCTCGGGTGCATTTTGGGGTAGAAAGGGTAGGGCGCGGGCAGGAAGGGCGGGGGCGCCGGCTGCGGCCACACAGCGCTGGGCTTGAGGGGCTCCTGCTTGAGGGGCTCCTGCTTGAGGGGCTCCTGCTTAATGGGCTTGCTGGCCAGCGGCTCCAGCGCGCGGTAGAACTGGAAGCCCACGTCGCACAGGTCGATCATCTGCGAGTCACACTTGGGGCGCGGGGGCTGCGGGAAGAGCAGCGGGAGGCTTGCGGGCCCGCGGGCTTTGCTCTCCTGCGAGGGGAGGCCGAGCAGGGCTTCCTCCGCGGCGTGACTGTAGGGCATCTTGGTGGGCATGCTCTTCCGCTTGCGGGACCCGCCTCCTTCGAAGACCCCGGGGAACCCGTCCAGGTGCCCTGTTGGGGGTTCATATCGAAACTGGGAGAACGGCCCTCGGAGGGCTTCAGGAAGGGGGTGTCTCTGGGGTGCCTTCCCTCGGGAAGCCACCGGCTGCAGGCAGTGGGGAAAGCACGGGGTCCTCTTCACAGCCAAGTTGAAACGCGCATCTTCGTCTTTGACCATCTTCATTTCCTTCTGCATCCTTGGCGGTTTTCCTTTAAACAGAAACAAAGTCATTGCTGGTGTTTTTGTTTTGCTTTGCTTTGACGTTTCTTTGCCCATAGGGGTTCTGGTTACCGGTCAATACTAATTTGGGGGAAGACAAGACTTGCTTAATCCTGGTCTTACTGAGGGCTGTTCAGCGCACTTGTGCGCTCTTCCTTCCCGCGCGCGCAGTTCTAGTGTGGAGAGCACTGTCTCCTGCGGAGGCCTCTACCTAGGGCTGAATCTCACTGGGCTCGGAGCGAAGCCAGCTGCAGAACCTCGGCTGCAGGCGAGGGGCTTGTTCGAAAGAAACCTGAGAACTTATCTGGTCCTTGTCCTCATTTAAAATGAGGTCCAAAGACCTAAAGGCAAATCGACACACTCTCCTCACACTGGTACTGCACGGAGAGGTCTACACTTGGGCCTGTTCAATCTGACATGCGATTGCATCTTTTAATGATGAAGGAAGCATGTCTTCTCGGATGGTTTCTTCCATAAGGAAACCGATTTTCACTACTCTGGCTTTATGTGAGCCTCCGCAGAGGAAGATGGAGGTGTTCAAGGTCATGAAGGGGAAGGGAGTATAACGTTGGTCTCAGAACTAATCTTTCTGAGTGACCATTCTGAGCAAGTTGTGCTACCCGGTACCAATGGACAAGACTGATATGATTAGGAAAAACAGGGAAAACTAAGTTATGAAGTCATTTTGACAATGTGTTTGAATATTCAGCCAGATTCAGCTTGACGGGGAAATTCCCAAGATTATGACTCACTAAATCTGCACTTGGGCCTCTGTTTGCCTGTAAATGTCCAAGAGAAAGATAGGTTTTGGTGACTCCTGTGGCAGCTGACTGTGCAGCTAGCTACCTTATCCTGGTGACTAGTCAGGCATGTCAACAAGAACCGGTCAGAAGTCTGGCCCAAGACCACACTCCTTTTCACAGGTCTCCTGGTTGTTTTTCTATTTCCCTCACCTGGACGCTGATAGAATGAACCAGATGCTGTCTACTCAAGTCCTCTGAGTTTACTGGGTTCCATTCCTCAGCAGAGGCTGACACAGAACCAATTAGCATGGCAAGGTGTAACCTAGTGACACTGGAGACAGGGCTGGAACAGGAATTGAGGGCTGGACTGACTCAGGGCTCTGGCAAACCAAACAGGGTGAGGTCCTAGGGTAGAAGGGCCAACAGTTTCCAGTGACTTTTCATAGTTCTTGTGAAACATATGCAGTTTTCAGAATGATCAAAGACATTAGCAAATTGCATTGCATTGCCTTTTTGAGAAAGTTGAGAAATATAACATAATTGAAGCAAAATTGGCATTGTAATATTTGATTACCAAGTGCATCTACAAACAACTGAACTGAGAAGTGAAAATACATGTTCCTATTATATGAGTATTTGGGCATTCCTTTATTTTTTTTGTCTTTTTCATTTTTATTGGTACCAGGGATCAAACTCATGAGCGCACACTTGCAAGGCAGGCGCTTATGCCACTGAGCTAAATCCCCAGCCCCTATTTGGGCATTCTTTAAAGCTGTTCTGTGAACTAATCAAATAAAATAAACTAAAATAATGCTGTTTATTAATACTCTGTATTTATGTGAGATGTTCTCAGTCTGCTGTTCATTCCTTGGGTTTGGGCCTTAGTAATAAAGAGCAAGAGTTTGTGTGCCCAGTAAGTGGGAGGTCCCACTTGTGTCTTGTCTTTACTTCCTCTTAAAAGTCTTACCAAAAATGTGAGGTCATTCCTCACTGCTGCCTTGGGCATTTGTAGGAAGTGAAGAGGGCAGCAGAAGAAGGACAGGCCTTGCTTTACAAGACTGGAAGGCTGTGGCTGGGGAGAGCATAGGAGGAGGACCAGAAGGGCAGAGGCTCTTTGCTTCCTGGGGCTACCAGGTGATCCCTTGGCCTGAGGGGGCAGCAGGTCCTGACTCATACATTCATTTACAGTTACAGAGTCGGGATCTGATCCAAGAATTTGTTGCGTCTATAAAGATAATCAGTTTTCTGACAAGGCTAAGTGTGTTCGGTTGGATAGAAAGCTGTAGATTCTTTCTCTGACATTTCATTTTAGCCTCAGTTGGTTTTATAGCCTCATGAAGCTAGATTACTTTTGCAGAAAAGCCTGCTCAGACTGGAGAAGTCACCCAGGTTGTGAGTATCTGTCACTGTCACGGCTGAGCCCATCCAAAAGCAAACTGGTTCTGCCTTATTCTGATATGATCAAAGGAAACAAGTCCTAGTTCATATTAGGAGTAATGCTCCTAACAGAAAATTAATCCTAAAGGCATGTTTACTTCAGTGTCTACACTTTAATTACCATCAACCCAATAAAACAAGGAAACACTGTTGAACAGAGACGGTATTTTTAAAACGTAATTGGCACAGTCATGTCCCCAGTGCAATGACTTCATCTTAATTTCATAAAATTAATTTTGCCCAGTTTCTGTCTGGCTGTTTTCTCACCCCCAAAATATCCTGCATGCTACGAAAAAAAATCAGTAACACAAAGAGATTTTAAAGAGCTTGGAATCTACCCACTGACATTTGAATAGATCCTTAAAAGTGCCTACATTTCTACAGAAGGATCTTAAGGAGCATTGCCAATCTCAAGGACAGGTCAAGGAAAGGGTCAAGGAAAGAGGTCAAGAAGGCAAGGAAGAGGGAGAAGGAGTTAGAGAAAGAGGGCGATCTGCTTTCTTCTTTGACTTTCTTGGCAAAAAGTCAAGTATAGCTGCTGCTAGTTATTAATACCCATGTCTTTGAGCACCAGGAGAAAAGGCCAAGCCCTAGGGGGCAGAACAATGACAAAGTCAGAAACTACCCATGCTGAGGATGGGAAGCGTTCAAGGGAAGAGCAAGGAAAGGGTATCTTCCTTAGGAGGCAATTTATCTTGAATCAGTCAAGTTAAAAGTCTGTGTGTCTTCAGCAAAAAATATTAATAGACTCCTGGAAAACCTCCATGTGTGCCATCCACATGCCCCCTTCTATTTCTAAAAATACACCCACAGGCATCCATGACAACTATAGGATTCCGTGTGGGTGGAGAGAGAGGAGTGGGAGCAGCAATCCAGCTGAGATGTTCAAACTAAGGGACGGGCTTGGAGGGGGCGGGGCGCAACTACAAACGCTGTCCTATCAAGGGCTGCTTCTAGATCTCCTGGAAAAACCCAGCAGGTTGTAAGACAGTTTCCCACCAGGACATGGTGTTGAGATCACATGCAAAAAGAAAGAAGAATGCACATTTTAGATAAGTTTGGAGTCTGAGGTCTGTGCTTAAACGTTGGCTCTGCGGTAGCAGTTTGTATGTGGGAGGGCCCTGGGGTTTGGACACATTAATTGCAAAGCCTGATGTTCTTGCCCGTGGAGTGGGTGTCTCAATATCCCATTAGGGTGACTGGAAACTTATAATAGCATGTGTGTGACAGAATGGATGAAGCACTAGCCAGTGTGGTGGCTAAGACAGCGTGGACAAGAAGGAAGCCTCGGGCATCAGAGGACTGATGCTTGCATCATCTCTGTTTACCGGAATGAAGCTGTTGGTCACTGGTGGAAGGTGTCCGAGTTTCTTCTCTGCAAGTTCAAAACCAACACTTCACTCATTTAACTGAGTTGATCTTGTCCCAATAGTGAAGTAAATACAAAAGGTCAGTGACTGTATTCATTCTGTGTGCAGAATAAGTTTCTAGCTTAAACTACTCCCCCATCTCGCCTCTACACTCCCATTCCTATGATGAAGAATATCTTTCTGTCTGCATTACTAACAGATTCTTTGAGGAGTGGGAAGTGTAAGTAAAGGAGATTGGCTGTTTTATTACAGCTAGTGTGTGAGAAGAATTGCCCGTAATCTAATACTGAAGGTCAGTTTCCTAGGGTCAGAGGATCTGTCTGTGAAACCCAAAGTCTCAGACACAGCGATAGTGTTGGATCAATATTGGCAAAGCAGCACTTGCAATTGCCTCTAGACTATGAGGACAGGGACGGGGTCTGTTTAATTCTCTGCTACATCTTCAGGACCTGGCATGTACCTGCTTTGAGATTTGAGAAGAATGAATGGTTCTTGAGTTTAAAGTCTTCATATGAAACACCAAAATAAATAGTTTTATCTTAAGTTGTTTAGAATGAGGATGACTTTGGTGTAATCCCAGTCAGATCATCAGCATCCTCATAAGTTCTAGGATAGTCATTGTGAAGAGTACTTGATTCATTTACCTCTTCACTTTTCAAGGACAATTTTCTGAGTCAGTCTCAGATTAAGGGAAGCTGCATATGCTGCTTACACTAAGGCTGTGGAACCATTCTCTAAGTGCCACGAAGTTTTGCAACCCAGCCAGAAAATAGATTCCTGAAAAGTCTAAAGGGCAGAAGTGTTAGAAAGACTTCTGAATTGAGAATGGGAACTGTAAATCAAGAGTGGTGGTCCCCCTGTGCTCTACTCTGAAGAACTTAGTTTACCCTTTGTGCTAATGAAGGGAAAGACTTTAGAAGAATCATATATTTTCATTACTATGGCCAGAGACTGTTCTAAGGGCCCCAGTCTTTCATGATACCTACCTACTCAGTCACTGAAATAATTTTATCTTCCAAAAGGCTACAAATGAGTTAAGGCAGAAAATACTGGGTCAATTGGGTGTGGTGGCATGTGCCTGTAGTCCCAGCACTTGAGAGGCGGAGGCAGGAGGGTTTCTGTGAGTTCAAAGCCAAACAGCATAGCAAAACCCTGTCTAAAACAAAACAAAACAAGAAAATAACCTGAAAACTGGGTCAATCTGTGTTAAAGGATCTGGGGGAATGTGAGATAAATTCCTAAACAAGTATTATTCTTGACCATTAGTTATGAGGAAATGGGGAATGAATGAATTTTAAAAACCCAATCAAAAATTTTTTCTTTGAAAGATAAGGGTCGATTAGAAATATGAGACTTAACTAAGAAGAAACCACATTTAGTTTTGGGAAAAATTGCTTCTAATAATGCCCTTTAATTAGGAATTCACCTACTGCACCAAAA